AGGCAGCGCCGCCTCATCCTATCAAGGGCTTTCTGTCGGGTAATCCCTTCGGCCGGCCGGGATGGGCGGCGGGATCCGATCGGCCCGGACCGACCGCGAGGGCCGGGGAGGCGCTGGCGGCCGCGGGCTGATCCCCGCAATGCTCTTCTTTGCACTTGGCTCTCTTTATTCTAGGAAAGAGGATTTTCAGACTCGCCCGTGCTGCTTACCCACCCGCGGCTCTCTGTGTGGCAGCGGCAGAAAATACGTGGGTCGTCCCACAGGGGAGGGGGAGGGCATACAATGTAATAACAATTATGTGAAGGAGTTTTCCTCAACTATTGAGAGATCTTCAAAACCTTCCCCCTTTCCTAAAAAAAGGACAGAAAAATAATTGTTTTTACCGTCGTTGCACTCCTACGTCGTGCAAAACGCGCATAAAAGGATCTCAGTTGGGCTGAACACATCGACTACCATTGGCCCTTCCAGGAGGCTTTATAAAAACGAGCCGTTCAACTATTTCATAAACATATAGGTTTATGATATAGAGTGTGCTTCTTGGCAGAGATAAAGTTGTCTTCCTTTAACCAAGCAACAACTCAATATAATGCTCAGAGAAAAAAGGAAAAAGGAGAGAAAAGTCTTACATTACATTCCACTGCTTTCGTTTCCGCGCTTGCCTCGAGGCACACACCGCGCAAACAGAAAACACAATAATCTCGAATTAAATTCGAAATACGTAGCAGGCCTGCGGGGCGGATACAAATCAACCGCAGAGAGCTCCACCACCGCGACCACGATCTTAATATACACCGGAGGTCTTATTGCGTCAAATAGCTCCTGACTTCGTCTTCATGGGGACCGCCATAAGTGCCCAACTATCGGGTTAAAATTTATATAATAAGGTGGATTAGTTTGTAGCTAAAGTCCGCAATTGAATCCTCAAACCCTCCCGATTTATTTCACTTTTTCAGCATAAACAGTGCTCATTGCGGCCAACTTATCTGTAAAATCTAGGCGCTGTACCTGAAACGGTTCCGGAGATTTAGAGCGCTCAACGCCCGCAATAAATGGGCATGTTCGGTGTTCGGTGATGTTGCTAAAACTTAAATTTAGAACTCGGAAAGTACCCTTTAAGGGCAGCTAGTAGTTCACAAACAGTTGTGCCAAGAATTCTGCATGTTATTTATGAACAACAGCATGCATAAGGATTTAGTCTGTATACTTCTCCCGCTCCTAGATGTGAGAGTGGCACTAGGCAGTCTTGTTGTTGACTATACCAATAGTTGGTACTAAACTGTTTACACCGAGATTCAGAGTGCCTCACAATTCTTTGCAACATAGTGCAACCTCCCCTGCTTGCACGTCAGAAAATAACTAATCAGCTCAGGAAACAATCGAGAAAAATCAACTTACCAGGTGGGATCTGAGTGACGTCCAGCCCATCTCTGCGGCTGCTACGGGGCGGCGAGGCGGGGCGAGTCGCGGGAGGTTCAACCGAGAGAGACGCGAGGTAGGTGCACAGTTCACTGACACTTGGCGTTGTCCACGAGCACGAGGCACAGTCACATCACATCAGGTCCTTTAACCCCTCTGCCTCCGGTCCACAAACGCGTACTGGCCCCCGTGGTGTGGGGGCTGCGGGGGCGCCTGCGGGGGCGGCGGGGGCAGAGGCTGCTGCACGGGGGCGGCGACGGGAGCGGCGACGCGGGCGGGCCGCACAGCGACGAGCACGGGGGCCTTGCAGGTGCAGCTGCAACGGGAGGATGGTGGTGGTGGGATCCGGCCGAGTGCTCAGCAGTGGCTGAGCAGGCGGCCTTGCGGGAGCAGGGGGTCAGGGCGAGGACAAAGGACGCCGCCCACCCCGGGGTGCAGTTCGGGGCGGGGATGGAGTAAGGGTCCGTGGTCCGGTAGTCTGTCAGTCAGTAGCGGCGGCACCGACCAGAGCGCCTGCGAAGGCTAGGGTAGGCCACCGGCTCCGCGGGCGTGTCCAGCAGGCCAGCTGCGTGCCTAGCTACCATAGGGGCGCTGCGCGAGGCCCAAGGCGAGGCCGCTAGCACCGTTTCGTCGACGCCGCGTGACAATGGCATTCCTACCACGCGCAGTCACTCACCAGATGCTACAGAGCTTCTCGATTTTATGGCGCAGTGCGAAGGTTTGAATCAAATTTTAAACCGAAC